TTATATGCATGCGCTTACAAGAAGACAAAATTATAGTGAAAATAAGCAAATTCAAAATGATTTGGATGACATATCCTCGGGCAACTCGACTGAAATGCCTATCTCCTCCGATGATTGATCAACAATTTATTTTTTAATATTTCTTTTTATTTTTTTAATTTTTTTTGGTATTAGATTATTGAGGTAGAGTATAATGCAAATGATTGGTAGGCTAGTAGGTGTGTACCTAGTTGGGATGTATTTGACCTATAGTGATGTAATTTCTCTATTATCATCAATAATCTACACCTATTTTATTTAATAATATCAATTTTTGTAATATTTTATTTCATTTTGAAATAAAAATTATTCATTCAATAGATGTTATATAAATAATTTAATATTGTAATATTGAAAATTTCATTTTCATATATATAAAATTATTCATTTCGAAAGAAAAAAATTACATAATTATATATTTTTTAGTTATAAGTTCATAATTAGAAAAAAATAAGTCATACATAATTAAATTTGAATATCACCATGAAACATAACCAAACAAAACATCTCATTAATCTTAACTAAAATACTGTAGTATAATTTTTCTTTTATTTTTTATTCCTAATAAAAAAAAAAAGGCCCGACTAGGCCCGGCTCGCGGCCCAAGCCCAGGCCCTAGGCCCTATTAGTGGGCTTGGGCTTGGACCTGGGCCTGTATAGCGATCCCGGGTTTGTCCCCTTTATTTACAGTGCTCCGGTCGTAGGTTCCGTGGAGGTTGTGGTTGTATGTCTTGTTGTCATCTTTTAGATTCCGTATGTCTGAGTTTTAGGATGTGTTGGGCGTGTTTTGAACAGGCTGGTTGAGCCTTAGTCCCTTTCCTTGTTGCCCAGAGTTTTGGTGGTACGCTCGAGCAGGTACCCTTGCGCTCGAGCGGAGTTGGATTTTTAGTTGTACGCTCGAGCGTAGTTTTCACACTTCCAGTATCTGTGCCTCTGCAAAACTTCTGCAGATGTGTTTTTCACGCTCGAGCGGGTTTCATTACGCTCGAGCGGGTCACGCTCGAGCGGGTCTGTTGGCGCTCGAGCGGGGTGTTCATTGTCTGCGAAAGTTCTGAGAGGGGGTAATCTACGCTCGAGCGAACTGGTTTTCGCGCTCGAGCGGATGTATTTTGTTCTTGTGTCTTGGCGCTCGAGCGGGACTTCTTGCGCTCGAGCGGGTCCAGTTTTTGTGCTTGACGCTCGAGCGTTCTATTCTCCGCTCGAGCGGATCATGCATATATCAGTTGGCAGCTGTGCATTTTTGAATCACATTTCAACATCCTTTCTCTCTCTTACTTTTCCGAAAAAGCCATTTGAGAGCTTCCCTCACTAAAACTCAACTTCTATCTAAGTATTGATCTAGTAGGAGTGATTTCCTCACCTTTGGCCTTTACAAAAGTTGTGTTGATCATCGAGGGCTACGTTTTGATCCGAGAATATTGAGTTTTGGAGCACTTTGGGTTTCGTCATCTTCTCCGTTTGAGCTCTAACTTTGAGGTAGGGATATCCTACTCTATCTTATGAGCTTTGTCTTTGAGTTTTGGCATTTTGATATGTTTGGGGTCGTTGGGTAATTTTGAGAAAGTTTGGGTCTTTGTGTAATTTTACAAAAGTTGGGATTTTATTTATTATTACCTATATGCATGTTCGGCATAGAGAAATGAGATGAATGTTGGATTGTTGATAGAAATGAAACCTTAGGGTTGTTTTGTTAATTATGGAAAATGCCCTAATTGCATTGTTAAATTAATTTGTGAAATAAATGTGAGAAATAAGAAATGGAATTGAAAATGTTGGAATTGGAAATGTATGGGGTTAAAGGGTGTAGTTGGACTCACTTATCGCTCACCTAGTTAAACTGTTGATAATATATCAAATTGGTGCATTTATTTCCTATTTAGAAATAACTGCTTTGGGCTATCGGTGGAGGATAGTCTTGATTGTTGTAGACAATGCATGATGATTAGGCAAACTAAAACTAATCTATTAAGTGCACTATTGAATATAGCGATTGGAATAATACATTAACTTTATGTATTGATGGATTGTATATGATAGCTGTTTATATACATTGCTTGTGTGGGAGAAGAAAGGGGTTGTACTCCACGGTTTATTGGAAGAAAGGGGCTGTACCTCTAAACCGGAAGGTTTATTGGAAGAAATGGGCTGGACCTCTAAACCGAAAATTGTGTTATGCAGATACAGCTCATATGCTTATCTATTGAAGTGCAGATACAGTTCATATGCTTATCTATTGAAGTGCAGATACAACTAATATGCTTATTTGTTGATGTATTGATATAGCTTGTATGGTTATCTGTTGATGTATTGATATAGCTAGTATGCTTATCTATTGCGAAATGTGAATGCTTAATATGAGTGTCTGTCTCATATAGGTTGTTTGACCAGGTTCTGAGTCATAGTTATGAATTGAGAATTAGATAAGAAACGGAAAGTGAATATAACATGGACATGATTGTCGTGAAACTGTAACACGGTATAAATTGGAATATAAGTGTGGACCACCCATTGAACGCTATTATCTTAGTCATTGTTTATAGTTGGTTTAGTGTATTTCTACTGGGTTGTGGCTCACCCTATATGGGACACCATTTTCAGGTACAGGAAGCATGCCACCTCCATGGACGTCGTTTGGGAGGCTAGAGGCAGACAGACTGCTTTTGTTGTTTTGCTTTCTTTGATGTATTATATGTAAATTCAAGCTAAGGGCTTAAGATGTATTGAGTCAGTACTCTTCTCTTTTTGTAACCAAGTGTTAACTTGGAAAGCTGTAAGCCCGTAGGGCATTTGTTTGTTAGTAGCACGTAATATTTCTGTAAGAGCTACTCTGATTAATAGAAAGATATTTATTTCTCGTACATCATTTCATGTCTAAAATGATGGGTTTTATTTTATTTTTGAGGGCGTGACAGCCTGGGCCCCACCTTTTGGCCCATGGGTCGGGCCAGGCCGGGTTGCTAAAAATGAAGGAGACCGCGAGGCCCACATAGGCCGGCCTGAGCCCGAGCTCGAGCTAGAGCTGGACCATTGTTACATCCCTAATGGAACCCTTCAAAGTAGAGAAGTTATAGAAATGTTAAAAGAAATGAATGGAATGGCTTTAATCTTATATTGACCCAAACGCGCCTGTAGATAGAGTAATGGTAGAGAATGAGAAACGAGAGACCTAAATAAAGAGAGGGGTAGAGAAAGAGAAACAGAGACAACAACTGACCTGGAATTCGTGAATAGTGCTACGAGTTGGATGGTGCTTGTCTGCGAGTTGGACTGTGTTCGTCTACGAGTCGGACGATGGTATGAGAGAGAGAAACGAAGGGCTTTGATGAAGCTATACAGTCTGCCAGTGTGTGTGAAATGGGAGCAGTGGATTATTTGGGTCAAGAGAATGGATTTGGTGAGGAATAGATTTTCTCTCCAAAACACAAAACTACGTAGTTTTGTATATTGAAATATTTGGTGACAAAATATTTATCCTCACTAATAATATTTTTAATGGAGACGAAATTTTTTGTCACTAACTTGGCAACATAATTACCTCAAATTATTTAATGGCAAGAAAAAATTTTGGTGATGAAAAAAATAAAAATAGTGACGAAAAATTTCGTCACCTATTTTTTTAGGATAAATTACAAACACACCCCCTGAAGTTTACTTAAATTACAAATTACCCCCCGTGGTTCTAGAAATTACATTATGCCCCCTAAGGTTTATAATTTCATCACAAATAGGTCCTTTTATTAATAAATCATCAAGTTTTAATAGTTTTTAATAATGTTAAAATTTTATTTCAATTAATAATTCAGATAATTTTATTATTTTATAGGTAAATAGTTAGAAATTTCAATTTTTCAATTAATTCTGTTAAATAAAAATTTCTGACAGGTAGGTATTTGTAATTTTTCAAACCACAGGGGCAATTCGAATGTTAAGCAAACCTCGGGGGGTGTATTTGTAATTTACCCTATTTTTTATTATGTATGTAGATTGGTGACGAAATATTATTTTCTTCACTAAAAGGTAACTCTTTCGTGACAAAATTTATTTTCATCATTAGTTTTCGTCTTCAAAGATTCTTTTTGTTGTAGTGTATAAATTATCAAAATTACAAGGAAATGAAACACGAACTAATTACAATAGAGACTTTTTAAGTTACTATATTTACGGGTGTACGTGGTGCAGTTTGGACAATTTGAGAGTAAAATTACAAATCGAATGATGGATTGGTGAATTGGCAAATCGCGGTTTAGATGGTTTTAGCTGGATTGAAGAATCTTCTAACTAATTATCAAATATTTACATAATTTATAACACTAATTTACACAATATTTTTCATATATATAACACAAACTAATTTTATGTTTCATATATATAACTACTAATTTGTAACAAATTTCGCATCTTAAATCTCTCTCATACTCATTTTTACTTTGATATTTATTAGAAGTTGAAAAATATATATATGTATTAATTATAGTAGACGATTTCGAATGTGAATTATAAATTTTAAAGTTTAATACGTAGGTAGTGGATAGACCGATACATATTGATGCAAATCAGTACAATTTTAACAAATTAAGGGCATGTTACATAGCTGTAACAACATCATCTACACAATCACTGGCAGCATAAAAAAAACATAGCAAGCATGTAAGCTAATGTGCCATGGCCATCCATATCCACTTTCAATACACAGCATAACATTGGCAGTAGTAATAATGCAAACGGCATTAAAATGAATCAGAAATTATGATCCATAGAAAATACAATTGACGGCTGGGATTAAACCCAATTATAATGGATTCCACATTCAAAATAAATCTCAACCATCCATTATGTGTTCGTGCTCTGTGTTACATTAGTGAATTGGCAGGCTGGCCTTGTCTTTGGAGGCATTTTGGTCATCACAACAAATGTCAAACACCCCCAGGTGGAGGCGCAACAGTTGTTCGTCTCTCTTCCCAGAAAAATGTTCTTGATGGAATGTAATTCAGCAGCAACGTTGCTTATGTTCATTCGCTCCCTTGCCAATTCTGCAGAGCAAGCGACTCCGACTCCAATTATTGAATTCAAGCACTGTTGAATTTGTGACTCCCCATGCTGTTCTGAGAATGAGTGTCATTGTCTGAGGTACTATCGTGTTCTTCTTCATGAAGAAGTATTGGATCTACAATGTCTAGCACGCGGTCAGGGAATGATGCTTTGGAAAAATTGTGAAGGTTTAGACCGTCTTTGAACAATTCGTTAGTGGGTCTTTTGTTGGTGAACATTTCCAACAAGAGAATGCCATAGCTGTAGACATCACCGCATGTAGACACTTCACTTCCCATTCCATACTCTGCAGTGCACATGATATATAGTGAGTACTGAACAAAATCAATCGCAAGATACTCTCCCAAAGGTTAAAACTGTGATCTCATAAGCTTTTAGCATTAAAATTTCGATGAAATTTCAGCATTATTGGAATTTATTTTTTAATCTTTTGGGTCTGTTTGGATGCCAATTCCAATAGACCAGTTTTTCACAGCAGGCCCAACTAGGCCTCAAGGCCTCCAAACAGGACTAAATCCAGCAGATATTACTGGTAGTGTATGTGTAGTATTTACACTAAATTCAACCACAACAAGTCATAAATGATGCCATACTGTGTATCAACATATTGGCCATTGATATTTGATAGCATGAATTATCTAATTTGACATTTACTGTGTTAAAGTCACAAAAATAAAATTAAAAAAATGCTTCCAAAATCATGTCAAATAAAAAACCATGCTGGTTTTTTTTGTTTTTTTGAACCTGCCAAATCCAGAAAAATTACAGGATTTATTCTCTCATTTGTGTTAACAACACGACATAGCCTAGCATTTTGTAGGCAAAATATTGAACCAATGTTTGTTTTGATCCACCAAATTACAAACTCAGCTTAAAAATAAATTATTAATTACTCTCAGGATCCATGGTATTTCTGGCAAAATAACACAAGTGAATTTGTAGAAGCATCTTTAAATAAACAGGAGAAAAAGAATACAAAAATAAGGTTGATTCCTGGAGCAATGTACCAAATAGTCCCTCTTATTCCAATAGAGTTTGTCTGATTCATATTAAAGTTTTGGGTGGCTTCAGGAAGGAATTTCGCTAACCCAAAATCACCAACATGACCAATCATATCATTGTCCAAAAGAACATTGCTTGGCTTGAGATCGCAGTGAATTATTGGTGTTCCGCAATGATGATGAAGATAATCCAGTGCACAAGCAACATCAATGGCAATATTTAATCTCTGTAGAAGGTTCAATTTCCTCAACTCTCCATCTGCTGAACTCGGATAAGGATGCAACCAGTCGTCTAGGCTCCTGTTAACCATGAAGTCATAAACCAGCGCCTTGAAATCATTGCCTTGAAAATCAACACTCGAGCAAATAGTTTATATCTTAACCAGATTTCGATGCCTGATATTTCTCAATGCTTTACACTCCGCCATGAAAGTCGGGTCAGCTCCTCGGCGTTGAAGGTTGAGTACCTTCAAAGCTACAAATGTGGTAGAGTGATCGAAAGTTCCTTTATACACAGAGCCAAAGTTACCCACACCGATCAATTGTTAGAAATGGTTTGGAAATTCTGGATAAAAACATAATTTTTCCTAACTTTGGTCAATTATTTAGGTGGGACCCGTTCGCCAAAATTGGCGAGTGTAAGCGGTAACGCGTTCTATGCTGCGTTGTGATTCACGTGGTATATTTGGTTGCTCAAAACCATTATCGGGTGAATGGGAAATTGAAGCCAAAGTGTGTTCCATGGAAATGGAGTTTTTGGTGGAAATTTCTTAAGGTTTGGAAATTGGCTTGTCCCACATTGGTTTTGTGGGAAGTTTTGAATGGGTTTATATAGCTTGGAATTATAACTTGAGGAGGGCCCCAAGGAGCACCCCAAGTTGATAGAAGGAAGAGGTTATAGCCAAATTGGGCTAGACCCAAAAATAACCACACGCGCACACCATTTGAGTAGGCTTGGGCACAAGTGCATGGTGTGAAGTTAGGTTAGGCTTGTCCAGCCCAATACTAATCCTTTTGGACCAAAAACATTTGAATTCAAATTTATTTTTGGTAAAATAAAATCTGTCCAATTTAAAATTCAAAATTTTGAATTCAAAATTGTTGCACCTCTTCAAAATTTGTTTTGTAAAGGTTTAATGCCCGGACAGATTCAAATCTATTCCACCCGAACAGATTTCAACTCTGTTTAAATTTCAAACCGAAACAGATTCAGTTATCTGTCCAAACAGTACCAATTCAAACCAACAGCTTCAGTATCTGTTCAAACGGGTATGCTACCAGTTCAATTCAAAATTAAAGGGTGCCACTACACCTATAAATAGACTAGCCCTCATTTGATGAATTCATTCAATTTTTTCGTCCATATAATTCTGCAATTACTCTCTACATATTGCTGCATTATTTTCCTTATGAGAAAACACATAGTGTGTTTATTGTACAAAAAATTTGTAGTGCTGCAATTTTTTGTTGATTGATTGTTTTATGCTGGGAGATAGACGTCCGCAAATCTGAAAGTACTGTGGAGAGGACGAATCTGTCTTAAGGACACAGTGTCAAACACTGGACTTGATCATAATATTGTTCAAAAAACTAATCAAGTAAGTTAATTTATTTTCTGTTTGTTTTTAATTATTTAAATCAGATTTTAATTTTGTTTTTGTGACAAAATAAAGATCTGTTCTTATTTATTTATATTTATTTATTGGTTTGATTTTTGTAATCAAACAATATTTCTCATTTCCTATTTTTTCTTTTGTATTTTGTTTGTCGTTTAGTACACAAACAGAATTAATTTATTTAAATATAGTGAAGATTGTCCAACAATCTTAAGACATATTCTTTTATTTTTGTTGTCTTCATTGTATTTAATTTTCTGTGTTTTCACAAAGTTATATTCTGGTTGGAAAACAAATAGTAGTAATATACTGTTTGACAGATAGTAGTAATATACAGTCTTTTCTTTGACAACTAGTAGTAATATACTGGTGTCATTAACAGTTTCAGAATATTAATTTGTGTTACAAAAAATTATTTTGGTATTTTATTTTTCTAGTTTTAGTAACAAGGAAAATAAAATTATTTTGTGTTATAATTTATTTTTTGGTTTTAGTAACTAGAAAATTAATTTGTGTTTTGGTTTTTTCTGATTTTTGTAATCAGATATTATGGCTACTACAACTGAAACTGCAACTGGAAGTGGTACTCCAATTGTTACACCAACTCTGGTCCCTATCTAGAACCATGTTCAAGTACCAATAAATCATGGAGAAAAATTGAAAAAATTTAATGGTACTGAGTTTAAGAGATGGCAGCAGAAGATGCTGTTTTATCTTAGAACTCTAAATTTGGCCCGATTTCTCTGTGAAGAGGTTCCAACACTTAAAGAGGGTGAAAGTGATCGGCAAGTTGTTGCCGCTGTAGATGCTTGGAAACATTCAGATTTCCTGTGCAGAAACTACATTCTCAATGGCCTTGACAACATGCTGTATAATGTTTACAGCCCTCTAAAAACAGCAAAAGAATTGTGGGATTCTTTGGAGAAGAAATACAAGACAGAGGATGCCGGAACAAAGAAATTTGTTGTCGGTAAATTTCTGAACTTCGTTATGGTAGACTCCCAAACGGTAATTTCTCAAGTAAAAAAGTTTTCAATTAATTTTACATGATATTCATTCTGAGAGTATGTCTCTGAGCGAGTCTTTCCAAGTCCCTGCATTAGTGGAAAAGTTACCACCGGTTTGGAAATATTTCAAAAATTATTTAAAACATAAATGTAAAGAGATGACCATGGATGAACTTATTGTAAGACTGAGAATTGATGAAGATAACCGTATGGCTGAAAAGAGGATTGAGAAAAATCCCATTGAGTCCAAGGCTGTCACGACCCCAAACTGCCCCTAGTAGTTTGGTGCTGTGATGGCCAGTAATCTGAGATTACCGAAGGCCAACTTACAAAATTCACACACAATCAGAGTATAGATATAGGGGGCTCACAAGCACGGAAGCAATAATCTAAAATACAAGTGGTCCATAAGAGCAGTGCATAAGTCAAATGGAATGGCATACATCTTTACATGGCTTTACAACTTGAATACAAATAGAAATGAAGTACAAAGATACATATTACGTCTTGGCAAAAGGCTTCTCAAGCCGACATGTTCGAAATACATAAGCATCAAAATTGCCGACATAAACAAAACACTTGAGCTACAAATCATAGAACACAATCTTCAGGATTGCCGACATCCCCAAAGCCGACATAACATGCATACAAAACACACATCTCGGCGTAGCCGACTTCTTGCTTGTTACCTACATATATACATAGGGAGGGTGAGCTTGGATACTCAGTGAATGGTACAAGTAATAAAGGGGTTAAATGAATGATTCCCGAGGTCTTTCAAAACAAAACATAATATATCCTTATCAAAACCATACATATCATAGCTTGTACAAAACATGAGATAAATCTTGTTCATCAAACTTGATCTTACAAAACTTACTTACATACGTCAAATCTTATAACATAACCTCGGCATAACCTTGGTCCTTCAAAAGTTACTTACTTACTTACAACACCCACGCGGTAAACCGCTAGTGGCAAAACAAGACCAAGTAAGAAGGCCCGTAGCCCTTTAACACTTGGGTGCTGCTCAAGTTTAGAGTCCTCCAGCATGAGGGACTTGTGTTACTTAGGCCCGTAGCCCGCTTTAACATGATGAAACTTGTGTTACTTAGGCCCGTAGCCCGCTTTAACACGATGAAACTTGTGTTACTTAGGCCCGTAGCCCGCTTTAACACGATGGTACTGCACAAGTTTAGAGTCCTCCAGCACAAGGGACTTTCCGAGAATGTCGTCAAAACAAAGCTTACTTGATACATTGCCATTCAAAACAAAGCTTATACTTGATACATAAAATAGGGATATCATTCATGCTTAACAAATACTTTTATCAAAACGAGGCAAAGCTTTATCAAAACCTTAAGAACATAACTTTATTAAAAATACCACTCACTTTAGTTCTTGGGACGTCGGGGTCAAGGCAAAGGTCCAAGTCCTACGAACACATGGCAAAGCATACTGAACATACTTCTCAAAACAGGTCTCACATGCATGCAAATGATCTCGGGAAAACATGCTGGAAGTCAAAACACTGTTTTACATGTCAGGAAGACATGCTGGGTACCAACCAGGTCTTTGCCGAGGTCCCACACCTCCTGGCCGAGGTGTGGCTACCTAGGCTTCAGCATGCGACTGCACGCCGAGGTGCGCACAAGACAACTAAAAGTGTAAGTGATCATGTAAGGTAGGCCAAGGTGAGATACGATGCTTGGCCTAAGTGTGAGGTCTAGGTAAGAGTGATCTCGGCGACTACACCTCGGGAAGCGAGGTCTGGAGATCTGGGTTTCCACCCGTGAAGAACATGAAGAACATGAACATGAAGATTATAAAGAACATGAATGCTAAAATCATAACTCCTTTATTTACAAAATCTGGGATTTCATGCTATGAGTTCGAAAACATGGACCTGGGTACCCACACTTGAAAATCATATGAAAACAAACACAAAACATGAATCTAGGCAAGAGCTTTCGGATCAAAACATGACTTTTCTTGAAGAACACATGAATGTTATTTTCTCTCTCTAAAACCAAGCTTCAAAGCAATGTATAGCTTACAAATCATATTCAATCATGCAATGCAATAACATAAACATAAAGAACAACATGAGCAGATCAAGAATCTAACCTTGGAACACGGATCTAACGGTTCGATCTCTAGGAATCAAGCTTGGAAATCTATCTCCTCTCAAGAACTCCTCTCCCTCTTCTAGGGCTTCTCTCTCTACTCTTCAAAACAATTATAGGAACAAAATGATGGGTTTCTCTCTCTGCCGGCTGACTTAACACTCAGCTCGAACACGTGGCAGCGGCCGATTGGTTCTCTTCGAAAAGGTGATAGATTGACAAGACAAGGCAATGACAAGGCGTATCTAACAAGCTACTCGGTAAGGCACTCCGGCAAGTGATGACATCGGCTAACAACAAGACTTCGGCAACTAAGGTGACCATGACCTCGGCTAGAAAAGATGACACTTGACTAAGCTGTGCCACACCTTGGCCTAGATGTGCCACACCTCGGTCTAGGTCATACCACTCCAGGACAAGATCACTTGGGTGCATAGGTAACATCTCGGCCTAGATGATACACATCTCGGCCTTGGTGATTCACACCTCGGCCTAGATAATGACATCTCGGCCAATATGCCAGGGCGAAGGTGGAGGTCAAACAAAGTGGTTCCAAGACAATTCTAGACTGAAGATGACCTCGGCTAGGAATGATCTAGGCTTAACATAACAGGAAAGGGACAAAGCATGCAAGCAACACTTAGACACTTCACATAGCCACAAAACAAGGCATGGACCT